CTAAGGTGGTGTAGACTAAAGTGATTTGGCGACAATGGAGTTGGTGAACATAGATCGTTAGTAGCAATGGCGGAGTTAATTAATGTGCACAGCACAAGAGATCGCGAACCCGCTTATAACTATAAAGTGAAGGCATTTAATTCTGGCAGAATAACCATAAAGTCAAGCGCATCTTATGTTTAAATTCATTGACCATCTATATTTCAGTTAGTCAGTGGGTTTTAGAACTTGGTAGCTTGGTCCCGGGAAAATTTTTGGTATGTAACTTTCAACTCACATTGAATGGTTACTTTTTTAAACGTTTGCTCGTCTATCAATGCTTTTTCCCAATCCGTTTTAATCTTGGTGTCTTGTACCTCACATTAGCTATAGTGAAGTTCGGTGCTGTGGAATAGTCTACCTGTTGAGCTGCGGCGAGCGCGCACTCTTTCCACTTTTAAATACGGCTGCAAAGATCTCTTTTGAAATATGATCAATAACCAGTTTTCACGGCATTCAGGGAAAGCAGAAACATTTTTCTTTCTTTTGTAAGAATTTGTTTTTGGCTTTGTTGCCGTCAGGAAACATTCCATCGTCTTTTATCTTGTGGAAATCTCCTAGCGCAAGGTCTGAAGACACAGATAAAAACAGTTCAGTTGCTTCTTTTATTGAACCATTTATAACAATCTCTTTGATAGGTTATAATGATTTACAACAATAAGGAAATAATACATTCATGTAACTAATACATCATACATTTGGCGACAATAGCTATATCTATACACGTTTTTTCCTTAGGCCCTGTTTATATGAGAAAAGTTTTCCCGGGAAAGATGTTCACCCTCCCAGCTTGACCCCTTTGCCCGAGCTAAGAGTGACAACAGTGTTTAAAATGCTCTGATTGTCTCTCCTTGAATGGCCAGACCCATTCTTGTCCCCAGAGCCCGTGGTTTTTTGATCACGTGGTCTTGAAACGAGGGGCTCTAGAAGCAGCCTTTACTGGATGTGAGAAAATTTCTGACATCCGGACGCGCATAAACAGAAGTTACAAATATCACTGCTCATGCTCATAACGTATTTTTGTCCCTCACCGCTCCACTGGGGAAAAAAATTTTACTTCCTGAGCTCTCTCCAGAGAGTGGCTTCTTTGGGATGTTTTGACTGCAAATTGGGCGTGGGCGAGCCAAAGTGTTAATTTGCTGAAAAGTTGACCCAGCTAGGAGGCAGCCTCCCAAGCAGGCTTTTTTAGGGCAGCAAAATTTTTGTTTGTCGTGTTAACGATTTGCCAGATGTTGTAAGGAAGTGGTGGAAAAGCTGGCTCGCTCATGGTAGATCGGGTACGCGAGTGACTCTTCCACCTGGGACATGATTTATCGATATAAACGGCGGACTTAAGAGGAAATGTAATTTAAAGTGTTTTTGACAAAGCGGATGCCATTTTGAACCATACAAAAAATTCCAGTCGCTCTGGATAAAAAAATAGTCGCAAGTATTGTATTTCAATCTTCTGAATCTTCTTGCCTTGTACATGATTATTTCTATTGTCCCTCTACAACTTAAATTTATTAGTGCGGCCTATTTCCACTACTTGTTGTTGAACTTGCTTGCTTTTTAGTCGATGTTATGTAAGCCTCAGATTGAAGTTGGAAAAGTCGAACCAATCCTCCATGGCTGGCAAAAACATATTAGTTTACTGAAAGAAAAACCAGAGAGTAATTAAAGAAAGGCGCTTATTAAGTTTCTTTTCAGGATTTAAAACCAAGAGGGCAAAAAATTCTAACTTCTGACCACGGTTGTATAAAAGCTGGATAGCGCTATCAACTGGGTAAATCACTAGCCAGCGGATAAGAAACCAATGATAGATTTCTCCAGTGAACAGAGCTAAGTCACATAGAAAGAAACTGTTCTTCTATGTTGATACCTTGAGTAACCAAAGTTTTCAAGTAAACGCTTTTCTTTTGATATTCGTGCTGAATCAAACCAGTTATAAAGCGTCTCAAATCCAAAAGGGTACGGCCATCGTCTTTAGTAGATCGATTTAATTCATACCTTTCTGTGCACTAAACAAAGAACTTACCATGCGCGCCTCCCCTCCTCGTTGACTTTCATCTGCATAAAGGCGGGAAACAAAAAAAAATCAGCCGCAATAACAGTATAAGGAACAAAGAGTAGCTTTTGATTATCTTTGATTCATATCAGAGATGTTAAAACTGAAGCTATGTCCCGTTTCTCCAAAGTACTGATAAATTTTCTGAATAAAAGCGCGGATACTAGCCGACGAATCAGTCCATTTTGTTTGATCATCTGATTTTGCTTCGGGTAAAAACTGGGGTGTTGAGCACAAGGAAAACTTACAGTCCCAAAGGAAATCCATGATCTTGTCTGGAATTTTTATCCCTCGCTTGTGAGCTTCCGCCACTTCTAAAACACAAATCAAAAAAGGAAAACTTAGATGGTATAATCGAGAAATCTGAAAAGAAGACCACGTATTAGTCAATAATATGTAAAAATTTTACTTACAGCCGGGTTGTTCAAACGTTAGATAATGCCATCCACCGGATAAATCACTATCCAGCGGGTGAGTATTAGGGAAACTAGTTTCATTATCCACTGGATAGAGATTTATCCAGTGCGGGATAGCGTTATCCACCTTTTGAGTAAGTGGAGCCTGAAGAAAATTTTTGTGATTTCATAAGATTTCATCAGTTAGGTCTAATGTTTGTATCAGAACAACTGTTGAGTCAGTATATTTTTGTAATCTTCAACCATTGGACAAATTTTTTCAATATTCCAATATTTTACAAGAACAGAAAGGAAAAAAAAGAACAGCAACAACTTGCATAAATGATGAAAGTAAAATGCGCGCAGTAACCAAAGTAGTTTAGATTTTCGCGCTGGCCACTGACAGACGACTGACTGTCTGACAGAGTATTTTGTTTATCCTGCTGACAGCACTACACTAGTTGAGCAACCGTAGGCTCGGGCAGAAGGTACATACATGGCAAGTACTACCCATATTCCTGCCGGCCCTTATTGCGCTTTACAGTTTTAGCCAGCGTTACCATCTTCTAGCTCTTCTAGCGTAACTTCTAGCGTTGCCTAGTCCATGTACGGCGTCTTCCCAGGCCTTCTCGGTCAATTCATTTCGTTAACGTATCCGAGACGAACTCGCTATACACTATGCTCGAAAATTTGAGCATTATGCTTTTGGGCGTCACCCTCAAAACAACAGCATTATGCCTAAAATTATGCTCGAAAAGTAGCATTATGCTCGACTGATCTTGGCTGTATTTGATGCCCTTTTCCATACGCGCAGACACGAATACAACATTTTATTGCACCAGTTATACATTTCGAACTGGTAGCCGTGATGGATAGACAATTAGCCAGTTTTAGCAGCCTAACAAAATCGGATGCAAAGGTGCAAGAAGGCATTGTAAGTAGGAATCAAGCCTTTGAATGAATGAATATTAATTCTCACTAAACGCACCTGGAAGTAAAAATTTCTCAGTACAGTTAAGGAAGTATTATTTTTTCATTATCATTCTCTTTATTCTGAAAAAATGGCCATTATGCCGGCATTATGCTCGATGCTTCGACTTCAGCCTCCCAAGCAGGCTTTTTTAGGGCAGCAAAATTTTTGTTTGTCGTGTTAACGATTTGCCAGATGTTGTAAGGAAGTGGTGGAAAAGCTGGCTCGCTCATGGTAGATCGGGTACGCGAGTGACTCTTCTACCTGGGACATGATTTATCGATACAAACGGACTTAAGAGGAAATGTAATTTAAAGTGTTTTTGACAAAGCGGATGCCATTTTGAACCATACAAAAAATTCCAGTCGCTCTGGATAAAAAAATAGTCGCAAGTATTGTATTTCAATCTTCTTAATCTTCTTGCCTTGTACATGATTATTTCTATTGTCCCTCTACAACTTAAATTTATTAGTGCGGCCTATTTCCACTACTTGTTGTTGAACTTGCTTGCTTTTCAGTCGATGTTATGTAAGCCTCAGATTGAAGTTGGAAAAGTCGAACCAATCCTCCATGGCTGGCAAAAACATATTAGTTTACTAAAAGAAAAACCATAGAGTAATTAAAGAAAGGCGCTTATTAAGTTTCTTTTCAGGATTTAAAACCAAGAGGGCAAAAAATTCTAACTGCTTACCACGGTTGTATAAAAGCTGGATAGCGCTATCAACTGGGTAAATCACTAGCCAGCGGACAAGAAACCAATGATAGATTTCTCCACTGAACAGAGCTAAGTCACATAGAAAGAAACTGTTCTTCTATGTTGATACCTTGAGTAACCAAAGTTTTCAAGTAAACGCTTTTCTTTTGATATTCGTGCTGAATCAAACCAGTTATAAAGCGTCTCAAATACAAAAGCGTATAGCCATCGTCTTTAGTAGATCGATTTAATTCATACCTTTCTGCGCACTAAACAAAGAACTTACCATGCGCGCCTCCCCTCCACGTTGACTTTCATCTGCATAAAGGCGGGAAACAAAAAAAAAATCAGCCGCAATAACAGAATAAGGAACAAAGAGTAGCTTTTGATTATCTTTGATGCGAGTCAAAGATGTTAAAACTTAAGCTATGTCCCGTTTCTCCAAAGTACCGATAAATTTTCTGAATAAAAGCGGGGATACTAGCCGACAAATCAGTCCATTTTGTTTGATTATGTGATTTTGTTTCTTGTAAAGACTGGGGTGTTGAGCACAAGGAAAACTTACAGTCCCAAAGGAAATCCATGATTTTGTCTGGAATTTTTATCCCTCGCTTGTGAGCTTCCGCCACTTCTAAAACACAAATCAAAAAAAGGAAAACTTAAATGGCACAATCGAGAAATCTGAAAAGAAGACCACGTATTAGTCAATAATATGTAACAATTTTACTCACAGCCGGGTTGTTCAAACGTTAGATAATGCCATCCACCGGATAAATCACCATCCAGAGGATGAGTATTAGGGAAACCAATTTCATTATCCACTGGACAGAGATTTATCCAGTGCGGGATAGCGTT